CAGGGTCTGGACCACCCAGTAGTCAAAAGTCATTTAAGTAATCCATATATGTGACTTGTTATGGTATTTAAGAAGGGAATTTTATGAATTTATGAATTGCAGGCAAGGGAAATTGTGATTTTTTAAAAAAAGTAATACAGAATAAAAATCCTTCCAAAGGCAAACAACCTCTTACTCCAATATACTCCCCAAAATGTAATTCATTAATGCTTTAATTCAGTGCTTGAAAGGTTATTATTCTGGGTGACTCCCAGAGCCCCCAGAAAGCATGGTCACTGGTAAAGCTACCTGCATATTTTGCAGGTTGTCCATAAGGGAACTTTTGTAATTCTACTCTTCCCATATTTTATCTTGATTACATGCCTTCTTTAGAAAGCATAATTATTTCAGTATTCAAGTTGCCAACAGTTACAACAGTACAAATTTTCCTGGGCTGATTTGTGTTGCACAAAATGACAAAAGATGATGCCCCCCATCTACCTTAGCCTTTGATTGAGCGTCCAACTTGCCTCTGCTTTGAATTGATGTGCATTGAAGTATTAAAATGACTGCTTTAAGGACGCCTCCAAGGTATGTGTTCCTGTGTATAATAAGCTTTATTTAACCAAGAAAAACAAAGGAATAAATCTGGTGCATCGTTGTTTTCTGGAACGACTTTGAAAACATTCACTCTTCATGAAAGATTCCATTGCATGCTCGCTTGCACCCCAAATTCCAATTTGTGATTGAACTGCTGCCATATATTTAGGCATGAAAATTTTATCTTCCATGTCTGACTGCAATTCCAGCATGAATTCCCAACATCACAGGTATTTTATCTGTACAGACACCTTCCAGATGCTCATGCTAGAAATATTACCTAATTCACATCTCTGATTTTTTTTTTCCAGCATCAATAGTGCTTTTCATGCAAAAGAAAATTAAATTATTATTATGTATTATAAAAAGTGGCTGGCAGTTCCAAGAAAGATTGGGAAAGATCTCTGAAACCTGGAAGTGCTACTACTGCCAACCAGTGGGATGGTCAAAATATCTGACTAGATATAGACAGCTTTCAGTGATCTTAAATTGCAAAACTTTGCAAAACTAGTCTGAAAAACCATGACCAACATTAAAAAGACACACTATGAGAGATAGAAATTGAAGCTGATCATGGGACTCTAGGATCTAGTCCTGTCCCCTGCCTCATCAATAGGGACAGTTGCGATGCAAAGCAACTGAGGGAAAAGGGAAGATCCCTACAGGGCATTTGGGGGGCACATTCCCCCTTCTTCCTTATCTCTCAACACAGCACTCCAGCCCATTCAACAAGGCCACCCATTCCCTGTGAAGGGATTTCAGGGTATTGTCACTGAAGCCCTTGGAACCCCAAAGCTGCACCAGTTTGCATAAAGAGAAGTCACATGGTACTAGGCACAACGCCCCCTCCCTTTTTTTTGGAAGAGTATTTATATTTTTGTTCAGTGTTTGGCATACCGTTCCATATAAGGTTATTGTTCTGCTAACCAGACAATGCTCCATTATCTCTCATACTTCTAATTGACTAATGTCATATATCCTATGTAAATGCATGAGGTTTTTTATATGCGTAATCACTGCCTGTTTCCTGCCAGGTGTTTTCCTACATGTTCTTGGTCTTTGTGTCTTTCTTTCTTTCTTTAGACAAGAGGAGGCATACTTGGCCAGACAAGAGAGTTGTACTTAGCACAGATCAGAGGATTTGGCTTTTTGTTTACAACAAAATATATCCACAGCCATTCCCTCGTTTGATGATTGCAATAACTTATCTAACAGTGTCTGCTAACTTTGTATGTCTAACTGATCACTCTCATTATTTAATAATTAAAATATTAATGCTGTCCTGTATCAAAAGATTTCTTGGTGTCTAACTTGGCCACAGTGGTCCATGCTCTGGTTACATCCCAAATAGACTACTGCAACACACTCTACATGGGGCTGCCTCTGAAGACTGCTCGGAAGCTTCAGCTAGTCCAATGCTCAGCATCCAGGTTGCTCACGGGAGCCGGGTACAGGGAGTGTACACCTCCCTTGCTACACCAGCGCCACTGGCTACCAATTAGCTTCTGGGCTCGATTCAAAGTGCTGGTGTTAATCTATAACGTCCTAAATGACTCCGGCCCAGTTTACCTGTCCAAACGCATCTACCTTTATGAACCATCTAGGACCTTAAGATCATCCAGGGAGGATCCTACCACCATCGCAGTCGCGTCTGATGAGGACGAGAGACAGGGCCTTCTCCATGGTGGCCCCTCGGCTTTGGAATTTCCTCCCTAGTGTAGTTAGATCCGCCCCCTACCTTCTGACCTTCCGGAAGAATCTCAAATCCTAGTTATGGGATCAAGCACTCACAGAATAGTTGGTTTTCTGGGGAAGACAAGATTTTATTGGACCGTACTTGGACTGATTTGGATGATGATTTTAATCTGAGATTGTAATCTGGTGAACTGGTTCTAACATATATTTTAACTATTTTAATGTGAATCAATGTATTTATTATGTTTTACTATGTTTTGACATTGAATTGTTGCCTGTTTGGAAGCCTTTCTGAGTCCCTCCTCGGAGGCTGAGAAGGACGGGGTATAAATGCTTTAAATAAATAAATAAATAAATAACCTATTTGTGTGGTGGCTCTAGAGCAGTGGTTCTCAACCTTTTTTTGACCAGGGACCACTTGACCAGGGACCACTCTCCAATATTAACACCCAAAAGGGTTATGAATCAGTTTTTGGTCAACTTTAGATTTGGTTTGGTTCTTTGGGGTGCTGACTCAGAAAAGTGAATTGGATAGACCACATCAGGTCTAGTTTCTGAATCAGAACATATACCATCCAGTAATCGCCATCCGCTCTCCCACAAAAAACCATCTATATAAATAAAAATGTAATGTTCGTTTGTGGGATAAACAGAACTCAAAAACCACTGGGCAAATTGACACCAAATTTGGACACAAGACACCTAACAACCCAATGTAGGTCCTTCACTCAAAAAAATTGATTTTGTCATTTGGGAGTTGTAGTTGCTGGGATTTATAGTTCACCTCCAATCAAAGAACATTCTGAACCCCACCAACGATGGAATTGAACCAAACTTGGAACACAGTTCTCCCATGATCTACAGAAAATACTGGAAGGGTTTGATGGGCAGTGTCCTTTGGTTTTGGAATTGTAGTTCACCTACATCCAGAGATCACTGTGTACTCAAACAATGATGGATCTGGACCAAACTCTACAGGAATACTCAATATGTCCAAATGTGAACACTGGTGGAGTTTGGGGAAAACAGAATCTTGACATTTGAGAGTTGTAGGTGCTGGGATTTATAGTTCACCTACAATCACAGAGCATTCTGAACCCCACCAATGATAGAATTGGGCCAAACCTCCCACACAGAACCCCCATGTGGGCCACAGCAACGCGTGGCAGGGGATGGCTAGTATTTAATAATCTAGAGCAGATGTGGTCTATCCAAGGGGATGGGGCTAGTCAGCGACAGGGAAGGAGTGGCAGGTGGCACGAAAGGAGTGGAAACAAAATAAATAAAATAAAATATAATAAAGGGGAAGAAGGCTCACGGACCAGATAGTTTTAACGTTCCTAACGTTAGATTTTGAACTCTAACAGACTCAAGCTCCAACATTTTAACAAGGTCAAGGCTCAACTTTTTTTTCTCGTGTCAGGAGCAACTTGAGAAACTGAAAGTTGCTTCTGGTGTGAGAGAACTGGCAGTCTGCAAGGAGGTTGCCCAGGGGACGCCGGGTGTTTTGATATTTTACCATCCTTGTGGGAGGCTCATGTCTCTGCATGGGGAGCTGGAGCTGACAAAGGGAGCTCATTTGTAATCTCCCCAGATTCAAACCTCCGACATGTCGGTCTTCAGTCCTGGGGGAACATGGGTTTAACCCAATTGTGCCACTGGGGGCTCCTTAAGGCTCGACTGACATTCCCTAACTGTCATCCTCTTTAAAACTGAACATTCTAAACTGTCACTGAGTCAGTCACATGACCTGCAGCCCCTCCCACTGCTTTAGGTATATAGAGATAAGGAAACTGCAAATCAAATAAGGCATATACTTCCGGTTATAAAACGACACATCACTAAACAGACAAAAATCATATATAGAGGAGGCTTGAGCAGGTTGCTTCCTCCAACAGTGAGAGCCTTTCAAATGGCCAGAGGCAAGTCATTCACAAATATTCTCATATAAATGCACCACCCTCCACTTCTCGTTCTTCTGGGACTTATAGTGCGGAAAAGCGATACTTCAAACCCTGGCCGTCACACAGCAGCTCCCATTGTATGCCAGTTCCGACTGCCTCCTCTCAGCAATCTGAACATGAGGAACTTCCTGACTGTGAGAGCCGTTCAGCAGTGGAACTCTCTGCCCCGGAGTGTGGTAGAGGCTCCTTCTTTGGAGGTCTTTAAACAGAGGCTAGATGGCCATCTGTCAGGGGTGCTCTGAATGTAATATTCCTGCTTCTTGGCAGGGGGTTGGACTGGATGGCCCATGAGGTCTCTTCCAACTCTATGATTCTATAATTCTATCTCATTGGCCTTGGTCGCCTTCGGGATCCTTCAGGCTTTCATTGGCCAACCGCCCTGTCAATCACATCGGGAAACTTCCGCCTCTAATTCAGGGGGCGGGAATGTACCTTCTTATTCTAAGTGGTTAGATTTCCTGTCACTCAATGGAGATAGACCCGCCCTTCGGACGTCGAGCGCCCTCACATTTTGTGCACGCCCTCCGTTTTCCTATAGGTATAGTTTGGAGGAAGAGCCGAATCGTGAATGGCTAATGTTGCTGTCACTCAAGCTGAAGCTTCACCCTAAAGTCCTGCGGTATCCCGCGATCCCCAGAAGGAAAGTCGATGGGCGGGTTTTTATTTAGTGCTTTTCTATTGGTCACTCGGCTTTGTCATTCACACCATAACTCCACCTGGTTTCGAGATGTATGCTTTTGATTGGCTAGGAGTGCAGTCAGTTAGTGTCAGAAGTGGGCGTTGGCTTGGGCCTCGGACCAGCTGGTTGATACTTCCTCTTTCTGAGGTCTCGAGTTCATTGAGGCAGCGACGACTGGGAAGGATGGGGCGGCAGTGGAGCAGCCTGGGCCTGTGGCTGGTCTCGGCGCTCGTGGCAGGTAAGGCTTCGGGAGTCTGCCTCGCTGAATGGCCCGCTGCCGGAGAGGAGAGGCGGCGGAAGGAGGTTGCTCCAAGGCATTCTGGGGCCTAGGCCACACGGAGGGCTCCCACCGGCCTTGGGGCCCATGAGAGAGGAAGCAAGCTTGGAGAGGTGTTTTCGAAGGACATTGGGAATTAATGAACTGTCAGGTGTTATCTTCTCCTGACTTGTCCGCAGGTAGTTAATGTAAGAGCTTTTGGATAGGAAAGAGCTGCTTTCCCTCTCATTTCTCCATTTAATAATAATGATGATGATAATAATGATAATAATAATAACAATAATATCCCAGGTGACAGCAGGATTGAAGAGAAACAACTGGAAAAGCTGATATGAGGATTTAAAGATCCAACTGCAAAGCCAGTCAAGGTGGTGCCAGTGGTGATTGGCACACTGGGTGCAGTGCCTAAAGACCTTGGCCTGCACTTAAACACAATCAGTGCTGACAAGATTACCATCTGCCAGCTGCAGAAGGCCACGTTACTAGGATCTGCACACATTATTCGCCGATACATCACACAGTCCTAGATACTTAGGAAGTAGGAGCCCCTGGTGGCGCAGTGGGTTAAACCCCTGTGCCGGCAGGACTGAAGACCAACAGGTTGCAGGTTCAAATCCAGGGAGAGGTGGATGAGCTCTCTCTATCAACTCCAGCTCCTCGTGGGGACATGAGAGATGCCTCCCACAAGGATGATAAAAAGCACCAAATCATCCAGGCATCCCCTGGGCAACGTCCTTACAGATGGCCAATTCTCTCACACCAGAAGCGACTTGCAGTTTCTCAAGTCGCTCCTGACACAACAAAAAACAAACAAACTTGAGAAGTGTCCGACATGTGATCCAATACAACAGCCAGCAGAGTGTCTGCTGTGGACTCATCAGGATGTGTTTCAAAATAATAATAATAATAATAATAATAATAATAATAATAATAAAATTTTATTTATACCCCACCACCATCTCTCCAAGGGGACATGGGCGGCTTACACGAGGCCAAGCCCAACAATACAGCAAATATACAACATAAGATGCAAACAGTAAAATACAATGAAAATAAAAACAAAAACAATATAAATGAACACACAAAACAATATAAAACCACAGTAATTGAGCAGGACGGATTAAATGATTAAAACACTGGGTAAGCAGGCCATGTAATGTATCAAGACAGAGGAACAGAGGGACAAAAATAAGGTTTAATTGCACTAGAAGATAGAGTAAAGTGCTTCTGAGGATATTTTATGCAGGGTTTGGTCAAGATCAAAGATTGAAGGCACACTGGAATAGCCAAGTTTTCAGACTCTTCCTAAAGACAGCCAGGGTGGGGGCTTGCCTAATTTCTCTGGGGAGTGAGTTCCAGAGCCAAGGGGCTACCACGTAGAAGGCCCTCTCCCTCGTCCTCACAAGTCGCACTTGCAATGAGGGCGGGAGTGAGAGAAGGGCCTCTCCGGAAGATCGAAGGGATCATGTAGGTTCGTAAAAGGAGATGCGGTCATTTCCAAAGAGCCTCCAGTAAACAAACCCTGATTGGAATGTCCAAGGTGTGCAACAGCAGATACTACTAAAGTCTTATGGCCACTTCATAACTTAATACAATTATATTACATGGCATGATATTTTATAGGGACCACAATTAAGTTTTTACATAGGATTTTCTTTAGCTGGTGTCTGCAACCAACCTCATACACTCTAAAGACATTTCCCTCATATCTGTTAACTCTGCATTCATATTCTCTGTTCCTCTTCCAGTATAAGATGTTGCAAAGGATAGGTTAAGTTCCTGATCAGCCAAGTTGTTGCAAAAGTGGGATATATAGAAGTGTTAGTTCCTCAGGTAAACCCCCACCCACCCCAGGCAAAACAGCTACTGAAAGCTTGAATGCCTATTGAAATCCTACCCTTCCTTGTTCTTTTGTGTTTGTGTTTTTCCTCTGCCTTCACAGAGGCAACAATGCGGATACCTCTTCTAGTGGAAAATCAGAACTTAACAGTGTGGTAGAGTTGTTGAAGGCTTTCATGGCTGGAATCACTGTGTTGCTGTGAGTTTTCCAGGCTGTGTGGCCATGTTCCAGAAGCTTTCCCTCCTGATGTTTCACCCACATCTATGGCAGACATACTCAGAGGTTGTGGGGTCTGTTGGATACTAGGCAAGTGAGGTTTATGTATCTTTGGAATGTCCAAGATGGGAGAAAAAAACTTGTCTGTTTGAGGCAAGTGTGAATGTTGCAATTGGCCACCTTGCCTTGGATTTAATAGCCAAGCCGCTTCAAAGCCTGGCTGGTTGCTGCCTGGGGGGATCCTTTTTTGTGAGGTGTTAGCTGGCCCTGATGGTTCTGTCTGGAATTCCCCTGTTTTTTGCATGTGGACAATTTCAACAGAAAGGAGGAAACCATGAAATTGAACAAAATCTGGCTACCAGTATTATTTTTTTTAAAAAAAAACCCTCTAAAATCAGGACAGTAAATAAAAAGCAACACTCAAAAACAGGGGAATTCCAGACAAGAATCAATCAGGGCCAGCTAACACCTCCCATCAAAGAAGTCCCCCAGGCTGCAACCAGCCAGGCTTTGGAGCTGCAAGGCCATTTGATGCTAATCATTGTGGCATTCACACTTGCCTCAAACAGAGAAGAGTTCTTTTTCCCACTCTGGACATGCCACAGATAGATAAACTTCACTTGCCTAGTTTCCAACAGACCTGACACCTCTGAGGATGCCAGCCATAGATGTGGGCGAAATGTTAGGAGAGAATGCTTCTGGAACATGGCCATACAGTCCGGAAAACTCACACCAACCCAGTGTGGAAGAGGTTTCTTCTTTTTTCCTTGCAGCGGTGCCTGCGCTTAAACAGCCAGTGTATCTGCTGCTTCTAAGCTGAAAGCACCAACTTCCAAACTCTGGTCTTCCTGGTATTTTCAGCTTCAGTTCCCAGAATACCCGAAGCTTCTAGGAGTTGAAATCCAAAAATCTAGAAGTCTAGAGTTTGGAGATAACTTCTTTAAAGACTCGGGTTTTTACTGTTTTACTTTTCCTTTGGCCTCCAGGTTCCCTGTTTAGATTAAAGCCTGCCAAATGAAATCCTTGTCAGTTCCCTTTACACAACAGAACATGATCTCTTACTCATCCCTCTATGATATTTTTTTCTAATGGTTCCACTCGCATAACTGTATTTCAGTACATATACATTGCTAATTCTGAATTTGTATAAACTCAAAAAGTCAAGCGATTGTTCTGTTCAATCTTGTACATGCAACACAGTTTGGTTGTGCCCAGTTCAGGGTGGTTATGAATCTACAGGAAGTATTCAGTAAATCACTTTTACCTCTAATTCTTGCTGCTCTAGGTGTTGTAAATGTGTAGATGAATTTGGTTTCATTCTCATTTAAGGGTAGCTCAAGCAGTTGCTGGCTTCTAAAGAGTATCATCTGACCATGAATTAGAAGGCTTTCAAGCACATACTTTTCAATCTTGCCTTTAAAAGAAAGAGACAGGAGATTCTCTCATTTCAGACAATAAGTCAGCATAAGTAAGATAGCAATTGCCTTAAACACTTGTTTCTTGAATTAAAATACTCCCTCCGGATGTAGCAGAAGGCAGTGCCATTAACGTGTATTACTTAGTCTGAATAATTTGCCTCAAGTTTAGTAATGGGAAATCAAGGTAGCCTGAGGATTTCCCCAATGATACATTGTGTTGATGAATTTCCATTGCCAACTTGAATGGAATTGTTTTGAGAATGTGAAAAGAAGACTGAACAGTGGCAGGATTGCTCTGTTTCGATACCTCCAGGGCTGTCGCAAAGAGAAGGGGACAGGTTTCTTCTTTTCTGCCCAGAGAATAGAATCAGGTCTAATGATTTGAAGTTACAGTAGTGTAGATTTCGATTAAATATTAGAAAAAAAATCTTAACAGTTAGAGTGACTCGTCATTCATTGCCTAGAAAGGTGGTAGGGTCTCCTCTTTTGGATGTCTCCAAAAAGAGGCTGGACAGCTCCCTGGTGGGAATGCTTTAGCTCAGGCCTCTTCAACCTGCAGCCCTCCAGGTGTTTTGGACTTCAACTCCCAGAACTTGTCCATTAAACAAGATGGCTAGGACATCTGGCAGTTGGGAGTCCCAAACACCTGGAGGGCCACAGGTTGAAGAGGCCTGCTTTAGGTAGAGATCCTGCATTGAGAAGGTGATTGGACTCAGTGGCCCATGAGCCCCCCTCCAGCTCTAGAATGCAATGCCTGTGCCTATGGTGTCCTTTCCAGCTGTGATTCTATGTATATATGATTTGAGTATGCTGTATAATGTACTTGGAACTGTTCATATTTGTAGATTCTGCTCTTTAAGAGTCTAGCAGTCAGAATTTGTATTCTGGTGAATCTTGATTTTTGTAACAAAAAATCTCTTGTTATGCTTTAGTATGTATACACAAAAATACATAGACTATGCTGTTTGAATATGTTTTTGGGATAAAATGTGCACTATGTCATTTATCCTTCACTCATATAGTAGTCATATTTGTCTCCTGCCCTCACACAAGAGAGTAATATGTAAAAAGACTGTGAAAATCATAAAATGTACGCCAATCAACTTCCATTTTTAAAATACAAAAATTATACTTGCCGCACAAACACAAATATAGGTATTCTCTTGTCCAAATGAGTAAAAGATTTGACAAATCCACTGTGGCTAGAGCTGAAAATCTAGAGATTTTTCTAGAGAATGGCTGGAGAAAAATAGTTCCACAATTCAAATTTATGAGCAAACATGGTGACTGGGAATCATCAGTTGTATGACAAATGCTTGCTATTATAAACAGCAAGAAAAAGAAAGAGGAATCTGGGTTACAAATATACTACATACATTTAGATCAGTGTTTCTCAAACACTGATCTGAGTTTTGGATTTCAGCTCTCATAGTTTCTAATAGGTGACAAACTGACTGGGATTTCTGGAAGCTGAAGTCCAAAATATCTAAAGGAGCAGAGTTTGAGAAATGCTGGTTTACATACTTTTGTGCATCTCTGAGTAGGCAACATAGCAAATGCCCATTCCAAAGAAATAAGATTTTTCCATATTTTCTCCTGAAGGATTTTTTTTACTCTTTTTAAGAGTTTTAATGTTCACTATAATATTGAAAATATTTTCTTTGAAAATATCAAACTTTAAACTAGTTTTGAGACTACTGAAGAGCAAATAGCCTTCTCCAACGGTTAATGTGACTGAGTAATAATAAACTGAAAGTGATTTGGAGAAGGAAAGCTTATTTTCAAAAAGATTCTAGGATTTTTAAAGTTCCAAAACCTTGAATCACTCTTTTACCCTGTGTCACACAACCTGTCAGGTAGACAATGTTTACAGATACATTTATGTTGGTGTAAACCTAGTTTTATAGGCTGGAACATATTTACTGTCAATACCCAGGGTATTTACACATAACTCTGAATACATCTTAAAACTTGCTCCAAGGTTAGAAAGGTCAGAATAATTGAATTACAATAATGTAGTTGAAGAATTATGCCTGCAGGACTGTTTTGTATGCTTGTATCACACTGCCTGGTTTTAGTACAGCCTTCAAAAGTGAATAGACTAGGATTAAATAACTAGAGGCATTGAGACCAATGTAGGTCTGTTAAATGGTGCTAATGTAGCCTCTAAATGTAAATTCTGCGTATTTCAAAAGATGTTTTACACTAGTGTTTCCAGAATTTTGAACAAGGGTATTTCTGAATTCTGACATCAATATTAGTGGAGGCACAAGACCTGCATTTAAATGTGTCTCTGTAATTAAGCTATGAACCCTCTCTAGTAACATTTTTGGCTATTATAGTCACAGAGTGCTTCAAAAGGCTGGGATTGGGTGGTAACCCATTACCTCTCACCTGTAAAGCTCAAGGAATACCAAATCAAGCAATCCTGGTTTTAGAAAGAAGAGAGAGCTTTTCATATGACTACACCCACTAAGTATATTCAACAGTTGTGCATAATGTTTGTAAGCTGGAATTCTCTGTATAGGTGAATTTTGCACCTTGGTAGAATTAATTGTACGATTTCAGAGTTTAGGTAGAGGCTATACTGGCTAGTACTCCTCTCTGTGTATTTCAGACAGGAATCCTACAGATACAAAGAAGCCCAGCAAGTAGAACTGTTATTGTGAGCTGTCAAGTTGCTTCTGACTTATAGCAACCCTGAAGCAACCATTCATTAGATTTTCTCAGCAACATCTATTCTGAGATTTGCCTGTAGTAGACCCATTGAATAAATTACCAAGTGGTAAATCAAGATGCAAAGCCCTTTTGCTAATTGTAACTACCTTTTAAACTACGCTCTGGCCTATAGCCTTCCTGTTGTGCATACGTTTTGCTTCCATTTATCAAACCTGGTCTATTTTTTGCTTCATTTCTGCTATATGTCTCCTCAACCAAAGGTTTCCCTAAAACATTGTTTGAAGGAGTAACTTGAGTACCTTTGTCTTCCTATTTCAGGAATTTCTGCTAATAAATTCAGTGTGTTAAGATCTCCTGAATCCGTTGTTTTTCGTGAAGGAAACTGGCCAATACCTGGAGAACGGATTCCAGATGTTGCAGCATTATCGATGGGATTCTCCATTGAGGATGTAGGTAGTCAGTGGATCTCTCAAATCACAGTGCCGATTAACCTGTTTGAAAATCCCTCTAGGTCTAGCCTCTGTTACTTGGTTTTTGGTATTTCAAGCACAACTATGGCATAATTTCCTTTTTGGGGGGGAGGGTGCTAAGGCAAGTGTATTATTAAAAATGATGAAATGACAGACAACACTACATTACTTCAACAATATCCATGTTCTTTTTACCAGAATTCACTAATTTGATACACTCCAACATCCACAATTATCCACACCAATGCCTGAGATAGTGACACTTTTACTTTCTGATGGTTCAGTTTTCACAAACTTTTCTTCATGCACCAAATTATTTTTTAATAATAATAATAATAGTAACAACAACAACTTTATTTATCTCCCAAAAGGGACTTGGGGCGGCTTACATATCAGCACATGGTAGTGCCATAAAAACATATAAAATGTTGTGTTTTGTGTATAAAATTACTTTCAGGCTATTTAAGATATCTATGAAACAAATGAATTACGAGTTTAGGCTTGGGTCTCATCTCTAAGTATCTCATTATATATGTATATGCAAATGCCTATATTCCACAATTTTAAAAAAATCCCAAATTCCCTGATTCCAGGCATTTTCAATGAGGTAAATTCAACCTGTGTAAATATCCAATGTAGTATGCTACCTTCATAAGACAAGAAACACTTTCTACCTTGTGTCTCACCATAGAGTAAATACTACTTTGTATGTGAGCTTAGCTTTTTTTATTTTGTAACTAAATGCTCCCACTGCCCTCCAATTGCAGGATCTCTCTTGGCCTGGACTAGCAGTTGGGGATCTCTTCCGGCGTCCTCGAGCTACAGTTCTAGTCACAGTGACAGGGACAGACAAGTTAATATTGCCTAAGAGTGGTATCTCCTATCCAGTTGAAAATGTAAGTACTGTCATATTTTAAATTCAGATAGCTGCTCCAGGGACCACGATTTTTAGTTAGGAAAATGTGAGTTCTGTTTTTTTACTGCTTACATTTTGTGTGCTTCTCTGTGAAACTACACATATGAATTGCAAGCTTTGGTAGACAAATGGAAGCCCTGTCTTTTAAAGGAAATCTGTGCCTATTCAATTTAATAATTGTTGAGATTACAGTGGGACATTTCTGTTTTTAGTAGATGGTGTTCATGCTTAGGATCAGTATAGACTACTAGGGTTGAGAATGCATTGAACTTTCCTTTTTGTGGCACCGGTTAGAACAGTGGTGGTTCTCCAGATGTTTTGACCTTCAATTCACAGGAATCCTAACAGCTAGTAAAATGGCTGGGATTTCTGGGAGTTATAGGCCAAAACACCTGGGGACCCACAGATTGAGAACCACTGGGCTAGAAGAACCCAGAAAGTTTTTTTTCTTTTTACCTGATTGTGGGATATCTTTTGTTTCCTATTATTTCCTTGTTTGAGGAGGATTTCCATTGCCTCCATAGTCATATAGATCACATAGATCCTCATTCTGCTTCTCCAGCGATTGTCTAATTTTTCTTCTTTTTCTGTGACGAATGATGTTTGTTCTGGAACGTGAGGAAAGGATTGGATGGACAAATGGGAAGTGTTTGCTGACCTTGGGTCTTGCCTAATGGATATTTTTCAAGGGTGATACAGCAACCACACTTTGTCAAGCTAATGGGAAACAGCAATTTAAGGATGTGTAGTATTGTTGGAATGGGTCATTCCCTGTGTATTGATTGAAAAACCTCTAAGGAATACTAATATAAAATAGCAGAAGTGTAAAAGTGTAAAATTAAATTCATCTTGGTATATAATAAAACAGAGCCAGCATGATGTAGGGGTTTGTGTGTTGGACTAGGCCTCTGGGGGAGCAGGGCATGAATCCCCAGTCACACTAGGCAGTGAGAAACACCTTCTGAAATAATCTTACTAAGAAAACCAAGTGAGAAATCCACTTTAAGATCCCCACAGTTACGAAATGACTTGAAGTCGCATAGCAGTAAATGGGGTCAAATCAAAAAGAATAAACTAGATTTGAAAGTATATGTAGAGTTGTGAGGGGCAACCCGGTATCAGTCTTTATCATATCATAGAAGGATGCTGGCTTATTCAAAATGTTATTTTAAGTTAGAATTGACTTATGCATTACTTGGACTAGTGATCTGACTCAGTATATGTCAACTTACCATGTTTCTCTATGCAGTTACCCATGTTAGAATGAACTGCTTGAAGACTCCTGATGGGCACATAAGTAGATCAGATGTACCTGATTCTTGCTGCAAAGGATTGTAACTTAATGCTGCTTATATTGCTTAGGTGCTATGCAGTAGATCTTTTGTCTTGTGTTTTTTGTGGATGCTAAAAATATTTAAATATTTCTGGCAACAATGCATAAATGGTACCGTATACTTTGTACTTTTCCATAAATTTGAGGCAAAATGTCTAGCATTATTTTTTTGTCCTAGGCGGTTCCTTTCAGCCTGGATGGTGTTGCAAATGCAATTCATACTTTGTTTTCTGAGGAAACTCCTGTAGTTGTACAGCTGGCTCCTAGTGAAGAGGTAAGTGCCAATTCCATTAAAAAATACTGAAATCATAATTTGAAATAGTTATCATAGTCCTCTTGGGTTTCCGCACACCCAGCATCACATTTTATGCTGATAAGGTGCCTTGATGATACTTACAGTTGATTTATAAAGAGGACAGAGAAAAGAGAGGGTGTGTTGGAAAATTATCTTGAAAGAACACAAAAATGAACAGCTGAGCTCATATTCTTCTGCGTCGTCCCCTGTGAAATGCACACATATAGGTTTTCCTGCACAGTAGTTTCAGAACTTTATAGAAGCTCTAAGATACATTTTGACTTAAGCCCCACCCACTCTCCCCTTGATACTATATATATAGCCAGTGGGAGGGGCTAGCATCCCAGTTTCTTTTTTCCGCCATAAGTGTAATATTAGGAACATCTCTCCTGCTCGTTGGACTTGCTACTGACTTGAATTTGATTTAAATCCTAATTTTGACTTGATCCTTGGCGTTCTTTGACCACGCTTGCTCTCCAAGATTTGGACTGGTTCCTTCTTTTTCCTTTCGGCTGACTCCCGACTGCTTAACCGTTCCTTCCCTCAGGCCAGTTGCCTTTTCTGGCTGTTTTAGGTTGGCAATATGTCCGCCTTCATTTAAAAAATGTTCCCAGTACGGGGGAAAGTTACCGCCCCAGTTCCTTAGCCACAAAGTAACAGCCTAAGATATTAAGGCATGACATCCAGTGGGGAGGATGGGCGGGGATATGTGGATTTCACAGGTGACCACTCGAAGAAACTTGGTTACAGGTAAGCAACCCATTCTTTTATGTTTATTCTAACAATTGAGTGTTAAAATGGGTTTGTGACTAGTTGCACCCGTTACAGCAACTATTTTGTGATGGCATCTTTCATACTTCCTAAATTTTTCAATGTGCCTCCCAGCCTTCATTAGGTCACTCGCTGTACATGCTTCCAGATAGAATTAGTGTAAAAACTTTCATGTTAGAAAACAGTTGCCTGTTCAGTAAATATGTCTTAGGAAAATAACTCACTGTTAATTTGTTCTCATGATGTACAATGGTGATTGTTTCAGAGAGTATATATGGTTGGAAAGGCAAACTCCGTATTTGAGGATCTTTCTGTCACACTCCGACAGCTTCGGAATAGATTATTCCAAGAGAATTCTATTCTTGCTTCCCTTCCACTCAACTCGCTGAGCCGAAATAGTGAGGTAAGTCAAAATTAGATACAAATATTAAAGTCTCATCTTCCACTCATATCCCACTCAGTTTAGTAAAGAGAAGTGTTCTAGGTTGGCAGTGGTGTGTGTATATTGTTTATTCAAGCAGTAGTTTTAGAGCAGGGTTTTTAAAACTTTTTCCACTTCTTTCTACCCAAGAAATGTTTACATGATCCCAAGTATATAAGTATATAAAATAAGTATAAAAACCAAACATTTACTGCTAATAAATCAGCATTTGCATGGCCTTCTGCTGCTGCCCCAAAACTTTTCATGACTGTAACATTGAACTAAGGGGTCCCGATTTGGAGTTTGGATCCACAGTTTTAAAAGCAGTGAGATTCAAACATTAGGCTCTTGCTGAAATGCTAGCTGCTTGCATTTTAATTAAGGAAAAGTAGTGATGCACAAAATTCATCTCTGATGCTCATCATTGGCAAGATTTGACCATAGATGAAATCCATTTGGGAGTCCCTTGTACATTGCCTGATTAGTTAGAAGTGTTTTGAATGAATTTCACATTTGCCATCTGTGGTGATAACATGATTTCTAAATTGGCTTTGAGTGTCTTAAGTGTAGATAAAATACTCAGTTCTCGTGACTCTTCTTTCCTTAGGTTGATCTGCTATTCCTGTCCGAATTACAAGTTTTGCATGATATCACAAGCTTGGTAAGCCCAGACTTTGTAAACAAATGCTTGCTTCTACTTGCAGTTGGCAACCAATGATCCATTGGCAGAAACTGGACCAAAGATAGTTGCCATTTGGCACCGGGCACAGTAGCAGCAGCCACATGTAATTTTCTGGTCATGTAATTCTCTTCAGCTGGTTGGATCCCAATTGCCTAAGGAAGCCTCAAACTAAAAATAAAAAGTGTGTGTGGGGGGAGAGAAAACGCTTGTAGTTGCTAGGCTTCCTTGCAAATGGCTGAGGGAACAGAACAGAAAAATGGTTCTGGCCAGCTTTTCTTTAAAACAAGGTAGCAGAAAATGCTATGTTTGTAAACTGAAAGTACCTATGAGCTGTCACCAATTTTTGTTATTTTTGATCTCTCTGCCTTTTCCAAAGCTCTCCAGGCACAAACATTTAGCCAAGGATCACTCACCAGACCTATATTCCCTAGAGCTTTCTGGTTTGGAAGAAATTGGCAAGCGCTATGGAGAGGATTCACAACAGTTCAAAGATGCCTCTCAAATTCTTGCAGACTCCCTACAAAAGGTACCATGAGCAGCAATCCTGTTGTATAATTTAATGCAAATTTACTAGTCTACGTAAAGGGAATACCTAATAACAAAATGGTGCAGTGTTTTTTTTTCCTCTTAAGACTTATATGATGTGCTGCCACAGTGATGGTTTTTGGATTTTTTCAACTTAAAAATTAATGGTTGGCTATATTTGATGTCCAAGTTAGTGAATAATACTGCTGATTATTAATAAGATAGATGTTAAGGCATTTAGAAAAAAAACAAGCAGTGATAGGAAATTGTACAGATGAAATGATATTGGATATTGTTTGCAGTTGTACAAATCAACTATTCTTTTTGGTTAACAAATATAGTTGTAAATGGTTTGAATAACCTGATCTTTGTAAAATTCTCCACTTTTTGTGTGAGTAGTTAGCTACATAATATTTATGTCCAGATGCTGTGGGAAGAATGCTAAAAGAGTGCAACTGAGTTTTGTGAAATGTTTTCATCCAAATATACTATAGCTGGCATAGGTGGTTGTTGATATTAGAAATTTGTAAAATTGGGACCAGGTCTACAATCCATTTATCCTTTATGCAGAACTAGGTGGCATTTCATTTTCTTTTCATATCACAATCTCATGCTAACTTGCTGGAAAATGCTGCTGAAAATTTGTTCCACCATCCCATTTTTAAGGGGTTCTAGGCATTTCTCAAGACTAGTTCATATTACTATAAGAATTATGATTTAAGAAATATGCAAGCCTAAGTATAGAATGTGAGGTTAAAGACTTGTCAAAGATCAGTACCCTGATTCAAAATAGGTAAAGGTACAAGTTTCCCCTTGACATGAAGTCTAGTCATGTCCGACTCTGGGGGGTGGTGCTCATCCCCATTTCTAAGCCGAAGAGCCGGTGTTGTCCGTAGACGCCTCCAAGGTAATGTGGCTGCCATGACTGCATGGAGCACCATTACCTCCCCACTGAAGGTAACAGCGCTCCAATATCAGATCCCTGATATTGATCTCACATTTAAATGTTTTTGAACTACTAGCTTGGCAGAAGCTGGGGCTAACAGCAGGAGCTCACCCCGCTCCCTGGATTCAAACCACTGACCTTTTGGTCAGCAAGTTCAGCAGCTCAGCAGTTTAACCCGCTACACAACGGGGGGGGGGGGGAATTCAAATTACAGTACCTAAAAGTATTTCCATTAAAATTCTGTGACCTTAATTTGCAAATGATTTGGAGAGATAAAGCTTTCACATTAAATCCCATTGGGCACTTGTGCTTTTCTCTGTTTAGTTAACATTCAGGTTGTACACATCTCACAAGATGGACCCTTGGAAGTACAATTCATGCAACATAGACCTCTTTTCAGTACCAAATTAAAACCTGGCTGTTCATGCAGACTTCTTGCTCCCATGACCTTGAATCTGGCCTGATGGGGTGTGGGTGTTAACTTCTGTTTAATGTGCTTTTTGTTTAAAAGTTTTCTTTATTGACTGTGTTTCCCCGAGACTGCCAGATATAGGGCAGAACAAATGTAATAAGATTTCTGTACCTCACTATGCCAATACTTTCTAAATGAGTTTAAATTTTCAGTTTGCAGATGAGATGTACAGCCTATATGGTGGGAATGCAGTGGTAGAGGTGGTGACTGTGAAGACGTTTGACACTCCTTTTGTGAGGAAGTCGCGATCCATCCTGCAGTCAACTTCACAGGTTGTACAAGTTCTCCTTAAAACAATCAAGGAAACTTAGTATTTTAGAATTAGAAATTAGGGGGATGTGATGCACTTGTTTGGTTTAATGTCAGATGTTATCTAAATATTTTAATTAAAAATTGGAGGACTCAATTCAGCATCAAATTGAAACCTATTTGTACAAATTTTGAGGCCTATGATTTTGATACTTGGCTGATGTATTGTGGGTTTTATCTTCTGTTCATTTTGTTGTTTACTGCATTTTTGTACATATCGTATATTGACAAAAAGCCAAATCTTAGAATACCAGTGAGTTGTGTCTTCATTATGAACTGTTAACATTGTTCTGTATTTAGAAAACATTAGTTCTTTATGAATGCTCATTTCTTTATCCTTCCTTTGTTAAGAATACCTTTTTCTCTTCTCACAGAGCAAGCCTGAAAATCCATTTAACCTAGCATATTCGTACAACTTTGACTACGCAGTTGTCTTCAACATAGTGTTTTGGTTCATGATAGCCATGGCTATAGCGGTGATTGTCATCTCCTACAATCTCTGGAATATGGATCCAGGCTATGACAGTATCATTTATAGGATGACCAACCAGAAGATCAGGATGGATTGAGCTTCAGATTCAAGCCTGAAAGGAGTAAGGCTTCTTCCATTGATCTGGCATCGTTCAGTATGGACAGTACGATTTCTGTGACGCATCCTCTTGTGTTTCCCTGGCAGATATATTTAAAAATTAAGCAGTGGCTGTGCTCAAGTTGCAGAGCTGAACTATGAAATCATGAGTCAATGCCTACTGACTATATGTGTAAATGATTCCATTTTGTGGTTGTGCAATATTCCTTGAGTTCTAGAGTTGCTCTTCTGTATTGTGTGTAACCATGTGAAACAAATGCACTGAGAATACACTGGAAATGTAGGGTTGTTTCCTGAGACTTTGTTGTAAATCATCAGTTAGTTCATGTAAATATCTCAAATTGCTGTTTATGGGGATTTATTTCTGCTTATGCCGAACTTTCAGTATAATATATTTTAACTAGACCTGTTCTGCTAAAATATGACTTACCCTGCAAACAGCCTGGGCAAATTCTCAGGGACCTGGGAACCAATTTTGCCCTCTTCTGGACTTTCCTTTTTAGTGTTATGTATGATTCCTCCTACGTACCCCAGTACTGCTCCTGTAGTCAAGTCACATTGGAATAAATAGGAAATGATTAGCTTCTCTAGACATGATTGGCTGTCTTGGGGGTATTTTTTTTTCTTGGAAGACAATCATACTCAGCCACAAGTGACAGCCGATGATGATGATGATGAATAATAAATGTTTACTCTAAAGTTACACAAGGACATGACCTGGAACAAGAGAAGAAGAATGTTGGTATATCAATAAATGATCTTGTCATTATGTTACTGAATTTGACCAAAAACAGCGTAACAAATTTATTGTGTTCTGTTAAAGATTCAATCTTTAAACATTGGTCCACTGTAAACTGGAAATAGCACATAGTTTTCTCTAATCTTTGGTCACTCTAATGTTTTACAGGCACATCTTGTAAATTGTAATTACATTCTCAACAGGCATACTGTGGATCAGATTTTATTCCCATAAGTTGGCTTTTCGAATCTGCCACAGGAGGACTGAAAATGGTATAAATAATAGGCTTTGAATCAAAAAATAAATAAACCCCACTGACCTTAGTCTAGAAGCAGTAAGAACTGGGGGGAAAATCTTGTAGCTTGTGGAATGCTTTCTCTATTAAACATTAAGAGATTCTCTAGTGAGATTGTAGTGACTGTCTATATACCACAAGTTATTCAGCTTTCCCATAATACCGATGTTTAGCTGTCTTCTGTCATCTCTACCAGATTGGATGTGGAGCATGGTCAGAATATGGTTCAGTATTTAATGGATATTCTGGTTATACTATATATGAGTCATGTGTTAAGCACAGTGGACCAGTAAACAAGTTCATATAAAACTAATTACTTTGCCTAGTTGGATGTGTTGTGCTAAGCTTGTGATTTGGTAAAGTGGTCTGCAAGATTAGTGAACAACTTAAACATACAGCTGGATAGATAAAGGAGCATAGACTTCACTCCTGATCTCTGCAATAACAGGTACCACTATGCTACCAAAATAAAATTATTGTGGCGTTTCACTTAAAGCATGGTAAAAGAGAGAGGGGATGTTCCTAGTGTGTATTAGCATTCTATTCAGATAAATAAATAGTGAAAATCCCATATATTTATAAATAAACTGAAAATACTTGAATTCTAATGGGAACAAACTATTCATCTCTAGCAATAGGTTATTTTTTTCCTGTTTTTATTTCACAGTATTTTTTCATGTGGATATAGACTGAAAACTTATTTTGATTTTAGCTAATGCCTTGCTGGCTTAGCAAAAACCTCAAAGAAACCTTCCTCACACAGGTGGGTTAGTGCATACATAGGGAAATATAGGAAACCTAAAATGATTTTAAAAGACACAGTACTGAAGACAAGTTGATAAAGATTATGTCTAATCCTAAAACAAGCAACTGATTCCCTAAGTGTGGACATGATTTAACCTAGTTAAACATACATAATTCCATTGATTTTAATAAGTTGTGTCCCCTGTTTAAACACTTGATCAAAACTCAAGGCTTTGACTTGAGTTGGTGTCTGTAGATTAGGCTCTGAGAAAGAGGAAGTTAAGTCTTCAAGCCCCGTTGGAATAAATGCCCAAATTCATCACCACTAGATCTGAATGTGGCTGATTATGGCCTTGTTGTTGAAGGAGACTTTGGAAATTTCAGTACAAAAGATAATACAGAGATAGCTGAAAGAGGAACAGATTTGCTTTGACACCATGCGGGCTGCTTTATTAAACAAAAGAAGTAGGGATAAGGAATGAAAGCAGATTTCTCCAAATTAGGTGGTGTTGCACAGTTTCAGTATCAGAGTTGACAATTCATTTCACTAATCCTGAATTTACTAAATTTTAAACTCAATTCTCAAATTCCAGTCCTTTGCTTTCTAAATCTTAGCCCTCTAGCTATCCTAACAAAAAAAATATATTAAAAATTCAATGTCTCATCATAAAAAAGCATGCATGAATTACAGGACTATTGTTTGACAATTTTTGTTGAATAAAAAATGTTTGACATTACCAAGAAAACGTGTTTCCCAAATCTTTTGCTTTTTCTTCCCACTGCCATTCCCAAGCAAGGTAAGAGCATTTTAGAAAATTATTATTTATTTATTTACCATATTTCTATACCGCCTCTCTCAGCCCGAAGGCGACTCGACGCGGTTTACAATCGGCAATTAATGCCACCAACAACATAAAATATAATGAAAACATTAACATATAATATAGATCATATAAAAGCAGTAGAAACAATAAAAGCCATGGTTGAACTCACTCCTATTTTATTTTCATAAATCTCGAACAGAGCAATCACATGCATTATGTATTCAGTAGTTCCACAATGTTGATTGGGATTTGCACAGGATTTTATCGCTAATGATCTTCCCTCAGACATTCCTACAAAATTTTACATCTCTTAATAAAGCAAGTTACTTTCCCATCTACCTTACATTAAAGACAACAGTTGGTTACAAGTAAGGCATTTGGCATATTGGAACAGTAACCTGGAATAAGAGATTAACCTTTTGTAAACAGCTAAAAGTAAAACTTTCCCCTGACATTAAGTCTAGTCGTCTCCAACTCTGGGCAGTGGTGCTCATCTCTCATTTCTAAGCCGAAGTGCTAAAGTTGTCCATAGACGCCTCCAAGGTTATGTGGCCAGCATGACTGCGCGGAGCGCTGTTACCTTCCTGCCAAGATGATACCTATTGATCTTCTCACATTTGTATGTCTTCAAACTGCTAGGTTGGCAGAAGCTGGGTCTAACCGCGAGAACTCATCCCACTCCCAAGATTCAAACCAACTATTCAGCAGCTCAGCGGTTTAACCCGCTGCACCACCAGGGAGCCTATGAACAGCTACAGAGGATAAATATATCTTTTTTTACTATATGAAGAACCAAACAAAATAAGGATTCATAGTTGGTGTAAGATTTATATGGTTCATTATTTCATTTTTTGCATATTCACTGAGCAAAATGATGCACATTTTATTTTTGATTGAAGTTATTTTGGTTCAGCAACATTAATAACTTATTGTCTCAGTGTTGTCTGTTCTTTCCCAATTCAGCACCAGGCTGAAAAAATTCCAGCCTGGTGCAGCTTTCAGCACATAAAGTGAATCTTCACAGATCTTTTTACCGAGTCAAAACAATACAGACTGAATATTCTTTAAGAATTCCAAAATAGTCTCCATGAGTGGCTGACCTTTGCTTTCTGATAGCTCTGTGTACACAAACTATGCTTCATGTGCAACATTATGTTTAAAATTTTTATATACATTTATTTATTTATTATTAATTTCCTGTATTTGTAACCTGCCCTTCTCACCCCCGAGGGGGGACTCAGGGCAGCCTCACAGCAAGCACCATTTGGTGCTGTCACAATTATAAACATTCAACAATAATATCTCATCCCTCTTAAAAATTATTTTCTTAATTTCTAAGAATTGTTTATGTTAAAAAGTGAACTCTTGAATAGTTCTCTTGATGATAAATGCATTGTCTTTCCACAGTAACAAGTCTTCATACTGTACGCTTCCTTTTTTCTGAAAGACAACCTAAAATGAAACAAAAATACAGATAAATCAATATCAAGCAGGAGTCTTATTCCCTGCTACCTTGAGATGAATGTGAAGAAAATATAAAACCTTAAGTTTCAAACTTTCAGTGGAATCTAAGTAAGGAAAATGAACTCAGATAAGGAATCTGAGATGACAATGAATCTGAACTAAAAACTGAGAGGAAGGTGAGTTGCAAACAATGCTTCAGGGAAAAAGGCTGGAATTTAGTATGGGGCTTATTGCTGTATAAATGGACTCATACCTGTGAGAAAAAGAATTATGTTTTTGAAATTTTATACTCCGCAAGTAATTTTGGAAAATAGATACTCAGCTGCTGTGACGTTACTAAGGAGCCAATGAAGTGACCACTGTGCATTGAAACTGATATGCAGTGGGACACCCCGAGATGCACTTTTGCAATTCACTAGAAGGCTTCCTCAGTGCCTCTGCTGTGTAGCTAGTATGTGTTATTCAAAGTAATGCAACATCAACTGCGATATAAAATCACAGCCATTGAAAGGGGATTTTTTTATGCCCAAGATAAAGAGCTGGAAGCTTGGGAAATGGCTCAAGAGAATTGACCTGAAATATAATACAGTTAATGCTCAGTTAACAAGCACCCATGGAGATGTAGATGCTGGATAAATGTAGTTGCTATTAAAAAAAGGGTCTAATTAATACTATACAATACTATAAACTCTGTATTGACTTACACGGTATGGTATGGTATATTACAGTGTATAGTACTACATTAATACAGTAATTAAAAGCAAATACAAGTAAAGACAAGCTTAGCTTAATTTACACAGGTTTATTGTATTATAAAAACAGCTTTGGGAATGCAGTATTGTTTCTTTACTTATTTTTTACTGGTTCCTTGAAAGTTCTGGTTGTTTGCATTCCAATTAATGGAGTCTACTGAATATCACATAATAGATCATAGTTTAAAAATGAGGAACCCAAGGAAATTGTGACAGTTGAAGAAAAGAGATTTCAATAATAATGCTAATTGGGGTGATACAGCTTGTCAAGAAGTGTAGTTTGGACAGGTAAGGTGAAGGGTTGAGCACCATAGCATTAAAAAAATATTGAAGCCTTCCACAATCATTTACTCAATGTATTGAATCAACATGAAACGAGGAGAGTACACTGGACTCTAGATGCAGACTCTAAATTCTGTGATTCTCTACACATAGAGATTAATGAGTTAAAGCAGGACCACTTCCCCAACTTATGGAGCTTTCTCTGTGACTTGCAAACCTGGTCATGCAGAGAAGGGAGACTGTCCTGCTCAGACTTTTACTCCCCATTATTAAAGCAATAATTGAATTGGAGGGAAGCTAGTAAATGTCCCTCCCTGCATGCTGATTAGACATGCTTAAGCAAATAGTGATATAGAATTACAGAGTTTAAACCACCGGTGGAGAATCTCAAACCCTGGGACCAAACTCAGTCCCCTGAGTTTCTCAGAAGGCCAGCCTTCCACCCCCACCCCCATAAGATGACTGTTGCATGGTTTATCAGCTGTTGTTGTGCTGGCTTTCTCAATTTAAAAAAAGGATTCAAGAAAAGCGTATTACAATTTTTAGTTTCACCCACCATCTGAATTTGGCCCCTTAGAACATCCCCAGAATTGCATTTGGGCTGAAAGAGTTTTCATCCCCTCAGTCCAGATTCTAGAGCAGCCTAAGAGAGAGAGGACCTGACAGTTGTAATTTCCACAGTAACATTGTGGCCACACATTCCTAAGGAAGCAAACAAGTAGAAATCAAGGCTGTGTATAATTAGTATGTCCATGAAAACCAGCGGTTCCCAACCTTTTTTGGACCAGGGACCACTTGACCAGAGACCACTTTGATTGAGGACCACTCTCCAACATTAGTACCAAAAAGGTTACGAATCAGTTTTTAGTCAACTTTAGATTCGTTTTGGTTATTTGAGGTGCCGATTCAGAAAATCGCATTGGATATACCACACCAGCTCTAGTTTCTGATGCAGAACATATGCCATCCAATAGCTGCCATCTGCTCACCCACTGAAAATCATATTTAATAATCTAGAACTGATGTGGCATTAATTCTATGGTATAGATGCATTCTTAGTCATTAAACCCACACTGTGACACTGGTCTAATGCTTTCCCCTTTACCCCTGCAATTTTCTGAATCAGTACCCCAAATCACCCCAGGAACAGGCCTAAAAATGAAGACACTGGTGCCCCTGCTTCCAGGCGCCACGTGGAACGGCTCCTCTCAGGGGGAGGGAGGAGGAGGAGAAGCAGCAGTCAAGAGGCTTGTTGTCGCATCTTTCATGGTAGTCAGTCTCTCCCCTCATTTATTTTTATTTATTATTTATTTATACGCTTGTATACCGCTAATATCTCAGCCTAAGTCGGCGACTCATTGCGGTTTACAACATTTAAAAAACAGTATTCAGTTTAAAAGCATAAAACACATATACAATACAAATTATTGGGCCACCAATAATAATCCCATGCATCTCATAACTGGAATCGCAGTCCAAAATTCATCGTCCATGATTACCAATCCTTTAGTCATCAAAATTCGTTGCAACGATTAACCGAATGCTTGTTTAAACATCCATGTCTTCAATCTCTTCCGAAACACCATCAGCGAGGGGGCTGATCGTACCTCTATGGGGAGGGTGTTCCAAAGCCGAGGGGCCACCACAGAAAAGGCCCTGTCTCTCGTTCCCGCCAGCCGCACGTGTGAAGCCGGCGGGATAGAGAGCAGGGACTCCCCAGAAGACCTTAGGTCCTGGTGGGCTGATAGGCTGAGATACGTTCGGATAGATAAGTTGGGCCAGAACCGTTTAGGGCTTTAAAGGCCATGCCAGCACTTTGAATTGAGCCCGGTAGCATATCGGCAGCCAGTGGAGCTGGTGCAGCAGCAGAGGAGTTGTGTGCTCCCTGCGCCCCGCTCCTGTTAGTATCATGGCTGCCGCCCGTTGGACTAATTGGAGCTTCCGGCCGTCTTCAAAGGCAACCCCACGTAGAGAGCGTTGCAGTAGTCTAAACGGATGTAACCAGAGCGTGGACTACCGTGGCCAAGTCAGACTTCCCAAGGTACGGGCGCAGTTGGCGCACAAGTTTTAACTGTGCGAATGCTCCCTGGTCACCGCCGAAACCTGGGGTTCCAGGCTCAGCGATGAGTCCAGGATCACACCCAAACTGCGAACCTGCGTCTTCAGGGGGAGTGCGACCCCGTCTAACACAGGCTGTAACCCTATACCCTGTTCGGCCTTGCGACTAACCAGGAGTACCTCTGTCTTGTCTGGATTCAATTTCAATTTGTTCGCCCCCATCCAGACCGTCACAGCAGCTAAGCACCGGTTCAGGACCTCGACAGCCTCCTTAGTAGCAGGTGGAAAGGAGTGACAGAGTTGGACATCATCTGCGTACAGATGACATCGCACCGAAACTCCGGATGATCTCGCCCAGCGGCTTCATGTAGATGTTAAACAACATGGGAGACAGTATTGAACCCTGAGGAACCCCACAAGACAAAGATTGTGGGGTTGAACAGGAGTCTCCCAGTAACACCTTCTGAGACCGACCCTCGAGGAATGAGCGGAGCCACTGCAGAACAGTACCTCCAAGACCCATCCCCTCGAGGCGTCCCAGAAGGATACCGTGGTCGACGGTATCGAAGGCCGCTGAGAGGTCGAGCAGCACCAACAGGGACACACTCCCCCTGTCGAGCTCCCGACGCAGATCATCCACTAAGGCGACCAAAGCTGTCTCGGTACCATGCCCCGGCCTAAAGCCAGACTGTGCCGGATCCAGATAATCCGTGTCTACCAAGAATGCCTGGAGTTGTGAGGCCACCACACGTTCCAGGACTTTGCCCAAAAAGGGGAGATTGGAAACAGGCCGATAGTTGACGAATTGAGTGGGGTCCAGTGATGGTTTCTTCAACAGCGGTTTTATCACAGCTTGCTTTAAGCTGGCTGGAATTTTGCCCTCCCGAAGGGAGGCATTAACCACCACCTTCACCCACTCGGCCAATCCCCCTCTGGCCTCCTTCAGAAGCCAGGATTATCTCGGAACTATAAGAGGTTTTGTGAGACCAGTCGTTCTCGTTGCAATGGTGTAGTAACGGTGAGGCCGCGGACCATATTTTAGTTCTTAAGGGGACACCTGGTGGTCCATGAACCACATGTTGGGAACCAACTAGGGAAATGCTGATTGAATTATGCTTTTTGTATAACAGTATTTATACCTGCTATCTGCTCAAATGCTGTGAATGGGGTAAATGTAAACTTTAATATGCATGCACTTGCCTTCATCACTTTTTTGTTCACACCGTATTTCTTCTGTCTCTTTTGCCAGTTGTTCTTGACTGTTCAGTTTTTGTACTAGGTCTTCTAAGTTCTGCATTTCTTCCTGCAAATTTCTCTGAAGGTCATGATTGCTGTGTATGAAATCCCTTACTGCTTGTATTCTGTTGAAATCCTGAAAAGAAAATACACTGGAAGTTTTAAAAAGTAAAACGTGTCTTTTGAAGGAGCACACACTAGAATTTGACGGCAGTTTTGTGTGTGTGTGTGTGTGTGTGTCAGGAGGGACTTGAGAAACTGCAAGTCTTTTCTGGTGTGAGAGGATTGGCTGTCTGCAAGAACGTTGCCCAGGGGATGCCTGGATGTTTTATCATCCTATGAGAGGTTTCTCTCATGTCCCCGCATGGGAAGATGGAGCTGACAGACAGGAGCTCACTCTGTTCCCCGTATTCGAACCGCTGACCTTTCAGTCAGCAGTCCTGCTGGCGCAAGGGTTTAACCCATTGCACCACTGGAGGCTCCAGTTAAAGTGGTGTCAAACTGCATTAATTCTATGGTATACATGCATCCTTAGTCACTAAACCCATACTGTGAGACACTGGTCTAATGCTTTCCCCTTTACCCCTGCAACATTTCTTAAAATATCATTGGATTATAAACATCCATAAATTAATAGAAAAGTGTTTGATTTCCTGGTCAGTTGTGTTGAGCATAGTATTACAACAGGAGTGAGCCTTGGGATAGGCTGTAGCTCTCATTCTTTTTACTTTTGACTATACAGGCTAGAAGTGACAGCAGTTGCATCCAACAACATCTGGAAGACTGCAAATTGCCTGATCCAATCTAAACAGAAAACAATAATGGGAATATTTCATTAAAACCAAGCTAGTTTTTATGTTTCTTACCTCTTTTGAGATTGTTCCTTGCTCCTCCATGCAAAGCCTGATTTCACGAAGTCTCTCTTTGATCAGCTCTGCCTCTATTTCAGTCATCTGGCTTGGGCTCAGTTCACCTTCCAGTCCATCAAGCTGATCTTCCCCTGGTACATGAACAGCCCAATCAGATTTCAGGAGCTATTTGATTGGTTAAAAGATGGACAATCAGAAAACTACTCTATTAAAAGCTATTTGGCTTGGTAAGGAAGTCATGACTGAAAAGACTAGACTTTAATGTCAGGACTATAAGTAATATCAGTATCATAGTTTATAAATAGAGATTCTATTATTTCAGGTGATGACAAACATGTAGCACTTTGGATACTGTTGGATGGTAACTTCCATCAGCCTTAACCAGCATAGCCAATGATAGGAGACAATGGAAGCTGCAGTCCAACAACATCCAGAGGAAAGCATGTCTCTCCATGCCGAATATAGTATATTCCTATTCTTTGGAATGTGATTCTGAAGATGTACTTATCAATCAGGTCCAAAGATCCAAGGCTGCACAGGTATCTTCATCCTATATATCTTTGAACAGAAACTGTGTGACCTATCATGAACTGCTAATGAAATTCTAAATGTTTGGTAGTAGACCTAGGAAACTACTGTTTGAGAAACAGAAACAGAACTTGTAATGTAGTTCAGGGTAATTTGTAACAAAGCCCTTGGTGGTGCAGTGGGTTAAACTGCTGAGCTGCTGAACTTGCTGATCGAAAGGTTGGTGGTTTGAATCTGGGGAGTGGGGTGAGCTCCTGCTGTTAGCCCCAGCTTCGGTCAACCTAGCAGTTCAGAAACATAAAAATGTGAAATCAATAGGTACCACTCTGGTGGGAAGGTAACAGTGCTCCATGCAGTCATGCCAGCCACATGACCTTGGAGGCGTCTACAGAAAACAGATGACCCCCCAGAGTCAGCCATGTCAAGGGGAAACTTTTATCTTATATATGTTTAATATCAAATATCATTCCACCAAGGTATGCTAATCAGTTTGTAATATTCCCGTGAAGCTATTGAATTCATTTATATTTGAGATGGGGGCTCTGGCTTGCATTCTGCTTGGAACATATGCCAGTGTCCTCCATTGTGTGACTATGTATGTTTTTTGGTCATTTCAGAGGATGGTGTACTCTTCCACCTTCCATAATAACCAAAGCACACACACACCTCAAGAACTCATGGTTTTGATGCATTAATGCCCTTAAAGAATCATGTGTGTCAGAGAGATGTAGTGATTGGTGTTTTTTCCCTCTCTCTGAAACTTTAGAAGAGATGGGTGTTAAGAGTAGCTCAGACCCAGTTCTTGGCAATTAAGAAATGCAGTTATTTCTTAATATTGTAAATAAACCTTTTGTGATTTTTAAGATTGGACTCTGTATCCTTGCCTGCCTAAGCTCTAAATTCTTTACAGCCACAACCATTGGCACGTCACACTCTGTTTGCTAATGAGCTAAATGCTCAACTTTTAGTATCCTGTTTTATTTTTGGGTGCTCTGCTATATTTTAGGGTAGTTTTCCCTAACAGATTGTTCATTATACACCAGAAGAGTGACCAAAGTCATTCAGAAATCTGTCAACTGCAACTTCCAGCATTGTTTAATGTTATTTAATGTTGGCTATGCTGAATAGGGGCTAACGAAAGGTGTAGTGCAATATTATCAGAAAGGTTGCCCATTCCTATACAAAGATGACACATCTGACAAAGTTAATTCCAATACATTTATTTATTTATTTAAAACTTTTATATCCCGATCTTCTCAACCTCTGTAGAGGGACTCAGACTGGCTTATGGGAAGCTTATGCTATATATATAAAAAATCAGTCTTGAAGGTGCCATTTGATTCTTTGTTATTTTGTATTCAGGACTTTAACAAAAACCAGTTGCAATAGTTATAAACACTATTAACCTACACAGAACCCTGCCCCTCTTTGTTGATCCATACAAATGCTTTTTACAATGCATAGGTGTTATAATGCATAACCAAGGAATAATTATGATGACGAGTAACACCAGCCAGATTTGAAGAAGTAAACACAACCTTTTCTATACTTGTAGCAGCCGTTTGGACCTCGGGAACATGCTGAAACTCAGCTAGCAAATTTTGAACATGGTTTCCAAATTGCTTCAGCCAGGAAGAGGAGACTTTCATATCTGAAGAGTGCATTAGTTCATTGCGGCACTTAATCACCTAGAGATGTAAACGTAAAGAAAAACAGGTGGACTGTAAACCCAGCAGGGGCTGTGGAAAGCAATTACTAAGTTATAGCCTTGCGCTGTGGGAGGTGGCAGGGGAATGAGGCCTAAATGAGTGATATATTTCTACCCCAGGGCCACACGCTGCTGTCAATTGCAAAGGGATGGAAATACTCCATGTAGTGCAGACCATGTAGATTACTAAAGGCATCAATGCTTCTAATAGCTTTCAAAATCAGCCTTAAACTTATTATATTTTACCACATCTATCTGTCTGTCTGTGGGTATACATAATTTACTATAATGAATAGTCTCTTGTGTCCCAATTTTGAGGAAAAGGTGGGCCAGAAATAATGCAATAGCAATGAAACTGGAAACTGGAGAGGCCTCTGAACCTGTAATGTTTGCATTGATGAGGGAATTGCAGCAGGTGTTGTTTGCTACCTGGTTGCATGAAAGCAACATCTGTGGGAATTCCTGCTTATACACAACAATTAAAGGTGCAGGAGCCTCTCCAGATTTCACAGGAAACCCTAGTAATAATACTCTGAAATCACCTTATTTTAATGAAGATAAGCGACCTCCCACAGGCTGCATGGATAGACTTCACGGCGTTAGTAATGGCATCATGTCACTTCAATTTACCGTTTTCACCTGGCTTGTAGTCTAAAAACCAGGACTGAAGTCTGGGGTAAACATGGGTAAAAGTATGATAGCTGGGACCCAGTGCTGGTAGCGCTACACTGGTTGCGCAACGTGGCTCTCACGAGACAGAGTACCGAGTGAGAGACACAGCTGCAGCAGGATACCAGTGAAGTAATGTAACATAGATGGGATAGGATAACAGTGAAATAATGTAACAGTTACTGCATTTAATTCATTTTTCCCCACTGCTCGTATTTCTCCCCTCCTTTTTATCCTTCCTTCCAATGTAACTACGTTTTTGAACGTGTTTGCCTAGGATCTCCACTGTTTCCACTTCCCCTTTCTACTGAACTACCTTGTTGATTCTGTCACAGGTGCGTCTCTCACTGCATCTGATATCTCGCGCACGTGGTGCTGTGTCTTGCGCACGTGTTCCCTTCTCTGATTCAGAGCTGTGTTACGCAACCAGCATAGCACTACCAACACTGGGTCCCAGTTATCATACTTTCAACTAAACATGTAGCTTTTGTGTGTTTTTTATGAGTTTGGGGCAAAAAAAAGGATCACCTACAATCATTTCAAAATTGAACTTTTAGGGAAGTCTGAAGGACTTCTGGGGCCATGGGCCAGACTTTCTCTGCTGAATCTTGAAAGAGTTCCTCTACAAGGGATGGAAATTACTTCTTCCCTCTCCCTAATTTGTCCATAAGCAACAGAGACTTCAGGAGAAAGAGGAAATGCTGGTTTCCTGGACTTTTCCAAGTGAGATCCTGCTTCTGGATAAGCTATGATTCCTTGTACAGAGAACTCATGGGAGCAACACCATGCAAAGTTAGAGTGTTTGCTAGAATAGGAGGGAGAACACTGGTAGGAAACATTTGAAAAACATATTCAGAACGAATGAGGGAAAGATGTCAATATCAGCCTTCAAATTACCTCTCTGACCTTCTTTTGATCAATGTCGCTGAAGTAATCACAGAAGGTAAAAAGGTTTAAGAGTCCTGATGCGTCACACTTGTCAGGACCACAACTATCAGCTTTCCCAGGAGGCATGTAAGCCTAAGCAATGAAGACGAACACGAACAGTCAATGGGGCATGTCTGCATCTCACACCAAGCCTTCAATAACCTTCAATTCAATAGCTTTCTACAATGACATACTTAAGAATTTACTGGATCATCTCAAACACCAACTACCAACCTGTGATCTATAGCACACTTAAGTCAACACTGGGTTGTTCATTTCAAAATAAAAATAGATACCAATAAAATTAGATTAATTGGGGCATCAGTAGGTTAGATGTTTTTGAATATTTACATAAAACTGTAGTTTAAGATAAGACTGTCCAACTCTGATTAAACCATTATTCTAACCTTCTTCAATGTAAATGTGCTTACGTATTCTTCAAATAATAATAGAGTAAAATAATGGAAATGTAATAATAACAGTAATAATAGAGTAAAATAATAAGTGTAATAATAATAAGTAGAGTAAAATAATAAGTGTAATAATAATAAGTAGAGTAAAATAAAAATACATCAAAATAAAAATAATAAATAAATAATAATAGAGTAAAAATAAATTTAATAATAATAAGTAGGGTAAAATATATTATTAATAATATAATAAATAATAATAAATAGAGTAAAATACATGTAATAATATTAAATAGAGTAAAATAATAAATGTAATAAATGTATTATTTATTTTATTTACAGTATTTATATACCACTTTTCTCACCCCTGGGGGGAATCAAAGCGGTTTTTTATTCCTCCTCATGTAATTCATACAAGTGATGGGAAAATTGTAGTACTGGAACTTTGTAATATATATGAAAGTTAACCGCAATGAGTCGCTGTTGTAGGCTGAGATATTGCGGTATATAAGCATACAAAATAAATAATAATAAATAAAGTATAAGCTGAGTTTTTCAGCCTTTTTTAAAGCTAAAAAAACCCCCCCATGGCTTACATTATAAAAATAATAGAGTAAAATAATGTAAATGTAATAATAACAATAATAATAGAGTAAAATAATAACAACAGAGTAAAATAATAAATAAATTTGACTCTAGTATAAGCTTTGTATGAATTACACGAGGAGGAATAAAAAACAATGTTGTCACCATGCCTGTAAAAAGGAAGAACCATGAAGCATTACCTTTGCAATTTCCCAAGAGTCAGAAGGCCAGAGCCAAGGTCTGCAGTTTCCCCAGTTCACCTCCCCATTCCTGTGTGTGTGATGCTTCAAAATCTCCTTTTTCCATTCTTTACACAGGGTACAGGCAGGCTGAAACTACAAATTAAAAGAAATATCAATGTACAGTCAGCTCACTGTATCCATGGGTTTCACATCCGCAATTTCAACCAACCATGGTTTTAAAATATTAAAAAGAAATCCCAAAGGATTTTGCTGTGTGCTATCACTATGCTGATGTGTAAGCATACCCTGTCAACTTATGGTGACCCAACTAATTTCATAGGATTTTCTTAAGCAAGGAATATTCAGAGGTGATTTTGACAGTTCCTTCTTCTGAAATATAGCCTACAGCATCTGATATCCGTTGGCAGCCTCCGTTCAAGTACTAACCAGGGCAATGTAATTTGCGGGCTCCCTGTTGTTTAATGTTTTCCAAGCATTGTACTTATTGCTAAAAATATTACAATTTTAAAAGCTTGTGACAAGCAGAAATTCAACAAGCATTGGTGTTGGTGTGTGCCTTCAAGTCATTTCTGATGTTTACAACCTTGAGGCAAACCTATCATGAGATCAATTTCTTGGCAGAATTTATTCTAAAAGGGTTTGCTTTGGCTTCCCTTTGCGTGTGTTGAAATGATACCAGAGTTGATCTCCATCAGGCCAACTTTGGTATCAAAGGGAGGCCATTCCAAAGACTAATCTTTTTCCCATGTCCCACGTATTACCCCTAGCAATGGGACACAGAGAAGGCCTGCTGCAATAGGTTTCAGTTGTTGAGTAGGCATATATACTTAACATAACTGATTCCAATACACCGCAAACCTCATATATCATCTTTGTTATTAAGGAATGTTTTCCTCACCACAACATTGCTACCAGTTCAGAGGAGTTCTGAAGTGATCTTTATGTTGTAAAATAGTTTTTGCTTTTAAAGAACATGTCTGAACCATTGTGTCAAATATGTGGGGATTTGTAAAAAGGCACCATGATGTAATGGGTTGGCTGGAAAGGTATGTGTCGGCAGCTGATTGGCTGAGCATGCTAGGAGCCAGAATTCTGATTGGCTACTGTCTCTAGCTTGCCGCTGAGACAAACGGTTTTAACTGCCACTTTCACCTCGGAAAGTGAAGAGAGTGCTGAATGGAAACAGCTAGGAAGAAAATGGCTGCCAACTCTCTGAAGCCTGAAGGGAATAAACAGTCCTTTTAAAGCAGGCATGAAGCATATTTTAAAAACTGCTTTAAAAGGACTGTTTATTCCCTCTGTTCCCTGTAAGAATTCAGAGAGACTGCTGTATATATTGTTACTCTGTTTGACATTTTGAACTGAAGTAAAGTTACTGTTACTCGTTAAACAATTCTGAGTGACACATTATTATACTGTAGAGCAGGGGTCCTCAAACATTTTAAGCAGAGGGCCAGGTCACAGTCCCTCAAACTGTTGGAAGGCCAGATTATAATTTGAAAAGAAAAAAAAACATTAATGAATTCCTATGCACACTGTACATATCTTATTTGTAGTGCAAAATCAATACAATAATTAAAATGAAGCACAATTTAAAAAATATAAACTTATTAGTATTTCAGTGAGAATTGTGGGTCTGCTTTTGGCTGACGAGATAGGATTGTTGTTGTTGTTGTTGTGTGCTTTCAAGTCATGTCAGACTTAGGTTGACCCTGAGTGAGGGCCAGTTAAATTACCTTGGAGGGCCGTATCCGGCCCCAAGGCCTTAGTTTGAGAACCCCTGCTGTAGAGTATATTTTGGTTCAGAAACAGTGGTAAAGCTTCTATTTATTTATATCTACAACCTCTAACAAAATACCTCTGCAGCTTGGCAAAATACCTATGCAGTTTGGCACGTGTGTAGTTGGCAAGCAACTACACACGTGGCAAAAGGAAATCTAATTCTGTTCAGGCTGCTCCAGATGGGAAGACATTTTTTATGCAATGTGGTTGCTTCCAGTGGTGATATCAGATAATTCCAGAACAATTTCTCCCTCCCACCCCATTTTTCTGGGCGCGTCCACTCAACATTTCATACCCCCAAGCTGCAAGGGTGGCATGCAGTATTATTTCACAGCAGTTTGTTTATAATGTCCTAGTATGTATTTCTGGCATGTACGAATCATGGAACCCCCAGTGACGCAATGGGTTAAAACCTTGTGTTGGCAAGACTGCTAACCAAAAGGTTAGTGGTTCAAATCTGGGGAGTGGGGTGAGCTCCCATTTGTCAGCTCCAGCTTCTCATGTGGGGACAAGAAAGAAGCCTCCCACAGGATGGTAAAACATCCCTTACAGTTAGTGGGCCAAAGTATGTGTCATCCTGAGGAGTGTGAGGGTAAACCTCTGTGTGAGAGATGTCTCAGTGAGAAAGCTCCAGTGTGAAGGCTGCTGCATGTAAAGCTACTATGTATTTGCTTATTTGTGTTATGGAATTTTTTTTAATAGTGCAACCATATTATTTTGCTATAAAGAAAATCCTCCTATGAAAGAGATAACATTGGTCTGTGTGTTTTTGTTCTTTTTATCACTTTGGGCTATCACGTTGCTGCTGATAAGGTTACCCTGCTGTGCATTTATGAGGAGGGTAACATCCATCTAAAATATTTGATGCTTTCTTTATAATTCGAGTGAGGCTTATCACCAATATGAATGATGCCATTTTGGCACCAGTGAGTAAATTTTAAATTGCCACCATGAAACAGAGTCCGTATGAGCACAGGTCGGTTGCAGAACTTCAATTACTTAATTAACTGTGAAGTACCTCCCGCCGAACCTCTTTTGACAAATTCCGTGCAGTTACATGATGTGAAGCAATCATTTGAGTGATGGCACCTTGGCACCCTCGAGCTATCAATATTGATGATGACTGCCAAATTAGTTTGGCAGCTCAGCAAAGAACCAGGAAATGCTGCCCACCAAACGCATTTTGAGTGTTTCTTGTCAATGTCTCTTCTAACCCTCTCACGCTACTTATTTTCAAAGATTTGAAATAACCAACATGCCACGCAACTCTTGCTCTCAGTTCCAAATATAGACCTCTCTATGTGGGAGAAATCACAACTTGGAATCATAACAAGAAATGTAAAGCCTGTAATAAAGCAGTCAGAATGAGCTGTTCTTTTCACTGCTTAGAAAAATAAATCATTTTTCTCGCCATGAGTGTATTCCATTTCCAGAAATGTTTCAAAGCAGTGATTTTCCCTGTCTACAAATGCATTTCTGTAAATCAATCTCATTTCATTTTTGACCAGACGTTTTCTTCTATCCAATTTGCATTGCAACTTTCATAATGGTCATGATCATCAGTCTTTTTATCTATCTATCTATCTATCTATCTATCTATCTATCTATCTATCTAAACAAAAATGTGATGTTAGTTTGTGGGACTAACATAACTCAAAAACCACTGAGTGAATTGACACCAAATTTGGACACAAGACACCTATCAGGCCAACGAGTGACCATTTATTTATTTATTTATTTATTTCAAGGTTTTGTATACCGACCTTCTCACCTCTCTTGAGGGACTCAGACCGGTTTCCAACCATAATATCACATACAATCAATAAAACATCATAATACATATTACAGTAAAACATTAAAACAGCAATTACAATCAATAACTATAATGGTCAGTCGTCACACTAAAATCGTTGCTCATCATCCTCCATCCATATCTCAGGGTGTTGGCTCACTCGTCGAATGCCTGTCTCCATAACCAAGTCTTCACCTGTTTCCTAAATGTCAGGATAGAAGGGGCGGTTCTGATCTCCAGTGGGAGAGAGTTCCAGAGTCGAGGGGCCACCACCGAGAAGGCCCTGTCCCTCGTCCCCACCAGACGCGCTTGCGAGGCCGGTGGGACCGAGAGCAGGGCCTCTCCAGACTAATAATCATCACTCATAAAAACACTGAAAAACGCAGCAGAAGAGACTTACAAAGCCAAAACTAAAAAATAAATTACAACGCATGCACAAAACCACATATATACACATATACACAAATATACACACACAAACATATATATATATATATACACACACACACACACACACACACACACACACACACACACAAAACCCATATACACAGAGTGGGCCATAGCAATGCATGGCAGTGGACGGCTAGTAAATAAATAAAGATGTAATGATAGTTTGTGGGATTAACAGACCTCAAAAACCACTGGGCGAGTTGACATCAAATTTGGACACTACACCTATCAGGCCAACGAGTGACCATCACTCAATCACTCATAAAAGCACTGAAAAACACAACAGAAGAGACTTAAAAAGCAAAAAAAAAAACATTACAACACATGTGCAAAACCACATATATACACATATACACAAATATATACATATATACACACACAAAACACATATACACAGACTGGGCCACAGCAATGTGGCAGGAGACAGCTAGTAAATGAATAAAAATGTCATATTAGTTTATGGGATTAACATAACTCAAAAACCACTGGACTAATTACTACCAAATTTGGCCAGAAGACACCTACTAACCCAAGGAATGACCATCACTTAAAAAATGATTTTGTCATTTGGGAGTTGTGGTTGCTGGGACTTATAGTTCACCTACAATCAAGGAGCATTCTGAACTCCACAAATGCTGGAACTGAACCAAACTTGGCACACAGAACTCCCACGACCAAGAGAAAATACCAAAACAGTTTGGTGGGTGTTGACCTTGAGTTTTGGAGTTATAGTTCGCCTACATTAAGAGAGCACTGTGGACTCAAAACAATGATGGACCTGGACCAAACTTGGCATGAATACTCAATATGCCCAAATATGAACACTGGTGGAGTTTGAGGGAAATAGACCTTAACAATTGTGAGTTGTTGCTGGGATTTATAGTTCACCTACAATCAAAGAGCATTCTGAACCCCACCAAGGATAGAATTGGGCCAAAACTTCCCACACAAGACCCCTATGACCAACAGAAAACACTGATGGTCTTTGGCGACCTCTCTGACACGCCCCCTCGCCTCCCCCCGGGATCCCGACCCCCAGGTTGAGAAGCGCTGGAGTAGACACACCTTTGGTCTGATCCTGGACTACTCTGTTCATTCATAGTTATGATCTGTTTCGGAAACCCACGGCCGGGGCCTCACCTGCTTTCCTCTCGGGAGGCAGTGCCCGGGGCAGCGGCTTCCAGGCGGCGAGGGGAGGCGAGCGGCCAGCTGCTGGTGGAAAGCGTGGGCCTGCTCGCCGGCGAAGCGCTGGAGGGCGGCGCGGAGGAGCAGCAAGCCCTGCCCGGCTTTCAGCCAGTTCTTGTACTCGGAGCAGTTCAGCCGCGCCGCCAGCTCCGCCGCCAGCCCCATGGCCTCGCCACTAACGATGGATCTATAGATGGGCCCCCGGAGGGAGAGAGAGAGAGAGAGGGAGGGAGAAACAGAAACAGAAAGAAAGAAGGAAGGAAAGAGGGAGGGAGGAGTCCTGTCTCCGCCTGGCTGCCCGGAAGCGCCCCAGCTCTTTTGTGTTTGCTTACACACACCACGGGGCGAGGCATCTTTTCTCCTCTCCTTCGTGACTCAATGCTATTTTATTTATTCCCTATCTAAATCCTCGCATAAATTAGTGTAAAACTGATAAAAATAGAAGAAGCACAAGCGGCTAAGTATCTTTTGACCAAAAACAAGCAACAGCGACTTCATTGTCTGTAGCTTTAAATAATTCTTCCTCTGTGCATGAGGCAGGGCGTTGTGGGCAAGCGTTGTTCATTCCTCCAGTCGCTTCTGACTCTTCGTAACCTCATGGACCAGACCACGCTAGAGCTCCCTGTCGGCCGTCACCACCCCCAGCTCCTTCAAGGTCAATCCAGTCACTTCAAGGATGCCATCCAGGCATGTAGCGGGGGGGGGGGGGGGTTGAGGCTTCAGCCCCCCCCCCCCCCCGAAATTCTCATGGTAGTCCATGAGAAGGCCTTACTGGTACATTATTTAAACTGTTATGTTTATTCATATCATGATCTGATCACCATGCTCCATATATCCCATATGCAGGGTAGACCCTCTTTCACTCAGACTCACCCCCCCCCCCCCCGAATCAAAATCCTGGCTACAGGCCTGATGCCATCCACCCATCTTGCCCTTGGTCAGCCCCTCTTACTTTTTCATTCCATTTTCCTCAGCATCATTATTAAATATGATTTTCTGTGGGAAAGCAGAAGACCGCTTTTGTTGTTGTTCATTCGTTCAGTCGTCTCCGACTCTTCATGACCTCATGGACCAGCCCACGCCAGAGCTCCCTGTCGGTCGTCACCACCCCCAGCTCCTCTGTGCATGAGGAGACCGCTACTGGATGGCATATCAGAAACTTGAACTGATGTGGTCTATCCAATGCAGTTTTCTGAATCAGCACCCCAAATAACCAAACCAAATCTCAAGTTGACCAAAAACCCTTTTGTTGGAGAGTGGTCCCTAGTCAAAAAAAGGTTGGGAACCACTGTGCTAGAGCTTCTCTTGTACTGAAAGTCTCGAAAATATGTTGGTGAATGAAACCTTTTCCTCATATTATGTTTTAGTAGGCATGAGATAATTGATTTTAATGTTTATATTTGTTTACAGTTTATGTTCTGGCATTGAATGTTTGCCATATATATGTTGTACTTCACCCTGACTCCACTTTGGGGTGAGAAGGGCAGAATATAAATGTTTTAAATAAGTAAACAGATTTTAAAGACATGGCAAACCTAATAGTGTTCCTCAGAAGTGCCTCCTATTGAATTGAGTAGATTTATTACTCCTAAGGGATTTCAACCTTAAAATCTGCTAGTGAAAAGGTACGCAGGACATAGATGGTGGGATTTGCCTTCAAACAACCATTTCATGCATTGGTTTTGAGACTTTATTTTCAAACATTTTTTAAAAGGGAGGTCACAGAAATTCAAATTCCCAGTGGACGGCCAGTGCATTCCACCCCATTGTAAAACCAATTGATATCACCATTTAGGGCCAGAAGGATCCAGGCCAACTGCACGCACAAGGAGGCTGGCCACGACTGCTTCCACCTTGTGATCTGCAGCTCAGGAGTGATCTACATGAGTTAGGTACACAATGCAGCTGTACAGCAGGCATCCAAAACTTTTCCATAGCTCTCAGGCCACAAGTAAAGCGGCCCTTTGTGGAACACATGATTAGGGCCTCATCGCATAGTGTGATGAGGTCCCTAGTTGTAAAAGCATGAACCACACCAAGAACATGCCTTGTGGATTCCTCCCATATGCTTGTGCCCTCCAAGGAGTACTAGAGACCTGACATTTTAGCTTCTGCCTTACCTTAACCATGCCCTGTGAAAAAATACAAACGTTCCATGAAATAATCAAGAAGGAAATGGAGGAGCTATTAGGGATAAATATAGAATGGAAGAAGACTCAATTCTTCACTCAGAAAATGGAAGGTAAAGGGGAATTTAAGAATGGGAGGAAATAATAAAACACATGATGGATGCAACGTCTCAGTTGCCCTAGACTGGAAGGGCCACAAGAAATGGGATATAAAAACTTGGTATAAATATCTAGCCGACTACCTACTCCAAGATTATATTAATGAAAGGAAAAGTTACTATAGGACGGGCCAAATCAGAAGGACATGGGAGGCAAAATGGAAGGGTCTCATTTCCAGAATAAATGGGATAGATAAGGAGTTAAATAAGACTATCATGATTGAACAACTGTAATAAGCATAGCAAAAGTAGCAAACTGTTCCTGGGGCGGGGGGGAGATGGGGATGTGGTGGTGGTATTGAGGAAAATACTGGTATTTTGACTATTAATTTTGAAGATTGTATGTTTCTATGTATGATACAATAATAAAAAAAATAAAAAACTATCATACTCAGACCTTGTTAGATCACATTAGCCTATTTAACAACTTTGGCCATACAATCTATGTACACATCTGTGAAATTTCGTGTTGTTTTGATATATTAATTCTGTTGTTTTATATTCAAGTTCTATGTCAGTTATAATTTTCAACTGATTATGTTTTATGTATTGTCAAAGGCTTAATACATGCAGGCAAAACGTCAGGAGAGAATGCTTCTAGAACATGGCCATATAGCCTGAAAAACCTACAACCCAGTGATTATGTTTTATTTAAATTGTAGTTGTTATGCTTAAGTTGATCTTTATGTGGGGTTATTTTGGGCTATTATATCTGTATTTACTGTTATTGAGGCATGGAAAGTTTGCCTTTTTGTTTGTTGGAATCCACCCTGAGTCCACCAGGGGAGATAGGGTGGAATATAAATAAAGTTTTATATTATATTATATTATTTTTAAAAAAAACCTTAACCGTGCCCTGGAACCCTTGTTTTGCTCTTTCAAGCAGTTTCTGACTTATTGCAGAAATATAGTTTTCTTGTCAGGATTTCTTCAGAGTGAGTTTACCATTGCCTTCCTCCAAGACAGACAGCATGACTTCCCCAACATCACCCAGTGGGATTCCATGGCCTAGTGAAGATTCGAACCCTGGTCTCCAGAGTTATAGTCTCATGCTCCAACCACTCTTCCTGAGATCTCAAGGCCCTGCAAGAAGGTACGAGCTCCATAAAAGACAGTGATTGGGGGAAAATGTTTTTGAGGTGTAGATAACAGCAATATTAATGCAAGAGTTCTTTGAGACCTGATGTTACTTCAAGGCTTCCTGCAGGGTAAAAGATTGAAAAATGGCTGCTTTAAACTTTTAATGAAAGTTGGAATTAATTTTATGCAAGTTTTCTGGGGAGGGGGGGGCAGCTTTAGGAACTCTGGTTTGTTACAACTCACTCTAATAATGCTAAACTATAGGACATGAGACAGCTCTGCACAAAATCAATCATCATTTTGACTTCTCAAGAGCAACTGTGGGCTGTGACTGACATAAAGTCTTTTAAAAAACAGAATAGATGGACCGAGTGGACGACTTTCACAGGACGGAAGATGGGATCAGTGTTGTTAGTAAGTTCAGAAATAATGTCAAAAGTAGAGGAAGCCAAGTTTGATATCCAAATTCTCAGGCTGGTAATGGCTAGAGTCAACATGGGGGAAAATCAAAAAGATCTATTTAAAACGTGTGAGAGAAAACAACAATGATTAAAGTATCATATAATGTAGATTGTTCAAAAATGTAATTTCACATATTGATTTGGAAGTGATTCAACAGGAAAGTTCCTGGTGTTCTGTGGTGAGTTGCTGAGTGAGAACATGAAGAATGGTAAATTAAGAGTTTGAAAATAAAACTTCCATGCTTTTACCATGTAGAGGTTTTGTTGCCCCACCTCAGAACGGCCATTACATAATATAGCAGGACAGGATTATAAGTGAATTATCTTCAATAATTTATGAATGTTATTAAGCATTCTGAATTTCTTTCCATATGCACTGCTTGTGGGAGCCATTTATTACAAATGGGAAATTTGGGGGAAAGGGGAACAAAACTTAGGACACTAAATGGGAAGAGAAGGAACTGGAAACATTGTGTAAAATTGTATTCAAAGGAAGTTGTGTTTTTAGATGATGATCATCCTTGGATTTTTTTTGGCCTACAACATACAGCAGCCTTCATAAAAATAGCCAACACTGAGAAATTATGAGAACTACAGTTCAAATTAGTTGAAGAGTAGAGTTGGGCCTGAATCACAAAAAGATTTGCAGTTTTCGGAGGGCAGTTTTTGTGTAATTTCCAAAAACAGAAAAGGGAAGCGAGAGACGAAAAGGCCAGAGAGACGATATTTTCGGAAAGAGTTAAGTCCACAGAATACCTGAGGCAGGGGGATCTGTGGCAACTTTTTCTTTCCCCAGCAGAAGAAGCCTCCTCCATTTTTTCTTGGAAAGTCCCCTCCTCCTCCGGAGAGGGCCCTTAGAACTCGCTTTCCCAGTGTCACTGGCATAGGGTGGCCACTGAAGGTTCCTCTCAGAGCATGATGGGAGTTGAAGTTTTTCTCTTTCTGTGTCTCTCAGCTAAGAAAAAGCCTGGTGGCTGAGAATGGACACAAATGGCAAATACAATTCCCAGAACCCTCTCTTGCGGTTTGTCTTATTTTAAAAAAACGTTATGTTTAAAACTAAAAATAATTCTAAAAATTCAGTAGATTCGTGAATTGTTTTGAAAGTTGGCAGGCCTGCCGTTGTAAATGGGGTCTACAACTGAGATAGGTTTCATGCAGGTAGGCCTTAACATGACTGAGAATTGAGCCTTTAAAGTTTCCCATTGTAACCAATGGGCCAAATCTCTGCCGAATTAAATGGAAAACACCCCTCCCCTTTTAGGCAACTTTCTGGTAAACGAAATGAGGGGTCAAACAAAAATGGATCCGAAAACGGTAGGACCTTTGGCCTGAATGCACATGACTATTGGAGAGCCAGTTTCCCACCTATGTTAACTGATGAACTACCAAGAAACAGCATGACAACTCCATAGCAAGCAAT